CCATTCTTCCTTCAAATCAGGGTATTGTATGAAATATTTAGTCATTCACATCATACAATAGTCACATTTTCACAATGCACATAGAATCCTAAGCACTATCTCAAGCTTAGATCCATAACTCCATTTTTTTATCATGAACCTATGAAGTACATAAACAATCATATTTTTATTTTTATGTTATCTTTAAATCATTGAGGGAAGTCTTCTTCAATCTTCTTACTTATATTAATGTGATCATTTAAATTGAATGAATCTACAAATAACTTGGCCATATATTGACAATTTTTTACATGAAGTGAATATTAGATTTGAGTTACATAAATGAAGTTATACTAATAAATAATACGTTTTACTCAAGATAAGGTTGTACTTCAAAATTTAGAAAAATGTAAAGAGTCACTGCTTAAAGCTCTTGATCATTAAGATAACATGATGTGCATCTTCATGATGCTTCACTTAACTGCCTAAAAAATATAAATCATATATAAAAACATCACACCTACTGCCATAAATGGGTTGTTGTTGATCAAAGTAGTAGGAGCAAAAATTAGTAGTTAAATATAATTAATATGCCTTAAATATGGAGTCTTCTAGTCAGAATTTATTTCTCACAAATCTCTAAATTTTTTTCAAAAATATGTTATTAATTTAAAGAAGGTGAAGTGTGGAGAGTATTGAACCTACTCATAAAGAAAAAAAAGCCTTAATTTATCAATAATTTTAAGTAAATAATTCTCTACTACATATTATTAATTCTCAAATTGATACGTTCAATGATATTTTACTGAACCGCAAACTATAACCTCATATGATAGATTTACGAACATATGCTCCATCGAGTCAAAAAGTATATATGCAAATATATTCTGACTTTACACACAATTATTAGAATGATTGCTTTTAATTATCGTAATATATGAACTTTTAATTAAGCTACAGATAAATTCCTGAAAAATTTATTGATATTAAGTAATGAATTAAGTATTTCACTCAGTAAGCAGTTAAATGCAACTGGAAACAAACTTTGTTAGAAAATATGACATTTATGGCTTTTTATTCCAAATATCTTTCATCCTTTCAAGTTGACACAACGACTTAAATTAGAAAAATGATCGTTTATAAAATTTAGTTACTAGAGCCACTCATAAATTATTCTTCAATGAAAGAAAGAAATATAATATTTTATTTTTAACCTTAATAAGTTTACCAGGAGCAGTCTCTTCAATATGTAACTCTCGTCTTCTACAAGGGCTTTAAGTATGAACTGTCATTCACATTATACTTTGTTTTGATTTTAATATCCATCATAGTGTTGAAATGATTATCAAATAATTTTTTCTTTATGTGCAAGTTGTCCATATTATATCTAATAAAATTTTTTCTCCTTGTAAGATAGATCCTAAAAAATAATTTATTTGGTATAATTATGATTAACTCCAAAATTATAGAGACATTGTGAAGATAGTTTGAGACAATCAGTAATCTTTAGAATTGTACTAATAATCTGACACATTTCATCACCTGTTATTCTTGGTGATGGCCCTAATTTCTTAAATCTATTTCATTTGAAGGTGTTTTTATTTCACCTTAAATAGTGATTAACAAGTAAAAACATATGATGACAAATGAATTATATATATTTTTTCTATTTTGTTGAAGAGTAAACGCCTTTGAAAAATCATGCGATATGGGCAAGCTAATTTACCTAAAGTGATTCACCCTGATAAAATTTCATATGCTAGAAAATGGCTTATTATCCATATTAGAGTTGTTTTCATTTAAATGTTTTGTTTCATAAAAATATCATAGGTGATGACACATATTTCCTAAAGAATTTAGAGCTAGTATATAAATGACAGCTAATATATTTTGCTTAAGTTAAAGGGTGATATTTGTAATGAAATATAAAAAGATTTTTTGCGGTAATATATAGGAATTTGATGGTATGAATTCAAATGCCTCTAAAATACAATAAGAAATTTTAAGGAAATTTTAGTATGTTTGTTTGATTAAATGAAAATTCATACCGAATCAATAGACAAAAACCTTATATTAAGGTTTTAAAAGGAAAAACCTTAAATACCTATTGAAACCTAACCAAATCAGCCAATTTTGTTCGGTTAGGTTCGTTTTTTTGTTTGACCAAAAATGCTCACCCCTATAACTGCTCAAAATAAAGTTTTTTGCGAGCCAATCCTTGCTTCGAGGGATTGCATATGCTCGGTTGCGAAAAATCTTGCACGACTATGGGAGTGTGTGCAGCCTCTCATTCCCTTGCCTTCAATTTTGAGGCCTAATCCTTCATCACAGTTGCTCAAAAAAGGTTCATTTGAGCTGCTCAAACCGTCTACCATGCTCATTCACATGCGAGATTGACAGATACAACATTTTTCCTTTATTCATCTTCCTCTTGGTTTCATTTCCTTCTCCTTGTCTCTCTCAACTTCTCTCGTCCTCTTTCCGTCTCCTTCAGTTCGAATGAGCTCGTATGCTTTTTGTAGGTGGTGAGAGTAACGAACAAATGACACCTGCTTTGTAGTTGTCAAAAATCTGTAATTTATTTGTTTTCAAAGTTAATTTAAAATTAATAGTTAATTATTGCAAATGTTTAATAAAATTGTATAATAATATTTTAAATATCATTAGCATAAAATAAGACTATATTAAAGGATACAAATAAATTCTTTTGATAAGCCATCAAAATATGAAATAGAAAGATTTCACTAATTTAAAGTATTATATTTAATGTTTAATATTCTCTTAAAATTTTAATCAAATTGTTTTGAACAAATTTGTAAAGTTTTTTATATCTAATAAAGTTTATTTATGCTATCAATAAAATTAATGCATATTAATCTCACCAACTTCACTACATATAAACTTCATCACTTATAAGTGCCATTGTGCCAATAATATTGATGCATGGAATTCTAATATTGTTGATACACATTATACCAAAATCAATGCACTTCATTAAAATAAATCCTATGTATACCACTAACATCAACAACAATGACTAACATCACCACAATATACATAATTGCATTGGATACCAACATTGATGTATGTTTTCGTTAGTAAACTTGATATAAGCCTCTGAAACCAACATTATAATATGTTATTCTCAACAATAATGATGCTGATTGTTCACATTGTCTGTTCTTAACAATTTAACAAATGCATATAATCATAATCGTGATCAACATTCATCATTATCATGGGTAAAACTGCAAATTCTTGAGGTGGAGGGGGGTGGTAATTTCTTTTTAGTATTAGTGTTTGAACTATAATAATACAAATAAAGGCATTTCTTATAATCATAATCAAGACATTTAATAATTTTTTGATATATGCCCCTAATTTATGAAGTTTTTTTTAATAATAATAAGGTAATATGTGTTTTGTCCCCTTTGAATTTATCACTTTGCCTCCATTTCCTCTAATAAATCATGCCAAACATTATATTAATCAAGCTCTTTAAGTGGTATAAATGCTAAATTTTTAAACCTTAATAAATTCAAATAATACAAATAAAGTTACAAATTAAAATTTTATATTTCATAAATTATTTATTCATATAAAATAAATATTTTTATTTATGCTAAGTACTCATAAATTGCTTAAGAGGGTCAACAAGGACCCTTTATTTCTTTGAATTTATATAATAATTACATTGAATAGCTTTGAGATGTCGGACTAAATAATAATTTGAAAATTCCAAGCATGTGTATGTTGGGGGACCACTCTCCCTTTAAATTTTCGGTGCATTTTAACACATACCACTAAATTCTTATGTATTTACATATCTAACAACTAAAGTGTGATCATTACATTTATACTATCCAAATTATTCATATCACATCAAAATACATCATTTTAATTTGTAAAAGTGAAACACATATTTTCATATTTAAGTAAGGTGGTGCATATGCAAAAATTGAAGTTTAGGTGTTAGATATGTAAATACATAAAAATTGAGTGTTATGTATGTAAATCTTCCTAGTTAAAAAATACCTTCATTTTATTTTCGTCTTGGTATTATTGCTTTTTTTTAAAAATAATTAGTTTGCAAATTCACAATATATATTTTTGTATTTAATAAAAAATTGTGATATCTAATTGAAACAAAACAGAAAATAAAAAAAAATAAAAAAAATTATAGTTATTTTAAATGTATAGATTTATTTAATAATTTTTTTATGGATGTATATATGTAATTAATTTTTCTTATATAATAGGTTTAATCTCTAAAAAAAATTATTGTTTTTATTTAAAGGTAATATATAAATACCTTAATTGTTGGGAAGGGCAACATTTGCAATGGGTAGGGCTGTAAACGAGCCGAGCTTGAGCGAGCTCAGGCTAGACTCGTGTTTGGCTCGTTCGAAATAGCTCGTGTTCGAAATCGGCTCGTGAACAGTGTGTTCGTGTTCGGCTCGATTTAAATATTCGTGTTCGTGTTCAGCTCGTGTTCGGCTCGAAATTGGCTCGTTAAACTAAAATTGAGAAAAATAGATATAAAGTGTGAGATTCGAACCTGGATCAAATATATACAAAAGAAGACACTAACCACATTGCCACATGAGGTGTTATGATTTAAACTTAGACATAAATATATATAATATATTATTATATAAATAATATATGTAATATATTGTTGTATTAAAAGTTATATAAATTTTTTTTTTCCGAGCCATTTCGAGCCAAACACGAGCCAACAAACTATTATTTGTGTTCGGCTTGTTTACATTTCAAGCTTAAAAAAATTATTTGTATTCGGCTCGTTAAACTTAACTAACGAAGCTTAACGAGCCGAACACGAGCTGCTTAACGAGCCGAAGAGGAGCTGTTAACGAACAACGAGCCAAATTCACAGCCCAGGCACCATTTACATAGTTTAAGTTTTCTGCAGAAAAAATCTACTTCAACCGTCTTTTTAACTTACCACGTGTCCCGCCTTTGTCCGCTATTCGGACTGTACTAAAACGCTGGCCCCTCCATCCGCACTCACCAAGATCCGACTTCTGGCTGACTTCCGCTTCTACTTTGGAGGTTCGAGGGCAGGCACGCCATGGTTACCACAGCGTTAAGAGGCGCACGCCTCCCGCTTATAGTAAACAATCCCAAGGTCTGTTCTCTCTCTCGTCCCTCCACTCACTCTCCTTGCATTTGCCTGTGTTGTGCACACCGGGGAATTATTTCAAACAGCTTATGAGCGTGTTGCATAAAATCATCCATTCAGCATCTGCATCAGCAATCGTATCTTTGAGGCTAATTTGATGATTATTTAAAAAAAAAAAGAAGAAAAGATTCTTCTACTTTGATGTGCAGTGTTATTGAGGTGGTTTTCTTGGTAAAGTTTATCGTGTTCTTGTGGTTCTTCGCAAGGGTTTTGAGAAATTATTAGATGATTATCACTGCTTGATTCATCGCGTTCCATTTTTTCTCCCTTTCTATTTTTTGTTTCTTCATTGACAGCATCCTCCGATGTCTGGGTGTTTGCGTTTAAGAAAGCTTAGTGGTCGGTTTGGCGCACCATCAATTTTTGCTAGATATTCTCAAGCTCCAGATATCTCTACCCGCCTCCAAGGTATCTTTCATCTTATTTATCAAGCATGCACCTTACTTTTATTTGGAGCTCTATGACTGATTGTCTGCGTACATAGCTATTAGTGCTTGGTTGAAACTATCTTCAATGCCGGTGAAGTATGGGTCTTTCATCTTGGGCTCGGTACCTTATATTGCACACAATTAGCTAAAAAGAAATATCTGTAGGCTAATTCAGAACTTGTTAACCTTGTAAGATTTTCTTACTCTAAATCATTGATAAAGCCTGGAAGTAAATAAGAATCTCATTAGAGTTTTTACTCAGGAATTAGAAAGTGAGAGTACTCCTTACCTTGCTTTAATGAAGACAATTTGTAGGTGTTGGGATGGTGGTTTTGGTATCTTAGCAAAATGTATATTGGATATATGAGACATGTTTTTTTGGGATTTATTTTGGACCAATTGAGAGCATTTTCATCCTCTAGTCAATCAAGTAGCCCAGCCATGCAGGCTATGAAGCACAAACGCCTGAAAATAATTTTATTGTCGTGCTAGATACGAAAACACATCTGCCACGATTCAACATGCTTAAAGATGTGTTTGGGGCATTTCTTCCCAAAATAAGAGCTGAACATGAACTAGAAACACATCAATACAAACACAACACGTACATGATCCTTGAAGGTTTAAGCTTTTTTTGGTTATGTATTATATTATGGTTCAATAATGTATCTTGGTTTGGATTGACATTACCTTTTAAAAGTTAAAAACCCAACTTGACTCTCTTTGGGGCTTAATTAACTTCTCACTTGTTCTTATCCATTGTATCCTACGAAGCACATAGACTTTTGAATGGCCTCCATGTCCACGGATATGGCTTTGGCATATCATAAACTGTGTCAAGATTTTCTTAATTATAAAATTGGGCTTCAATAAGGCATGGCTTGACGACATGTGATAGGACACGATAGGACTATGATGAATGCTTGCGTTATAAATTGTATATATATATATATTTAAGCATTGTGTTTGATTCTTTTTTATCTTTATAAATTTTTCTAATATGATACTATATTTCATCCAGTGTTATATTCATTAGAGAATAGAAAAAAAAATTATATTAATAATTTATTGAATATAAAAACATGTCTATGGCGTGTCATGTCTTATTTTTGACAATTATGCCACGTATTCGTGTTTGTGCTCAGTACCCATGTTCTCATGTCCGTATTCGTGCTACATAGAATGTATCATAATTTTCTTGCCCCTCTTCTTTTCCCTAAGCTTCCTTCTTGTTGAGCCTTGAATGCACTGCTCCACTATCAATCCAACTCCTATGTCGAGTATTTTCTGCCAAGTATGCTTTTGTGCTTCCCTTTATAATTTTTGCCTCATCAATGCTCTCCATTACATGCCTTTGAAGGCCTTTTAGTTGACTTGATAGCTCTATATCTCTTTCCTTCTCTCAATTATATAGTTAACCTTTCTCCTCTAGCAATAGCTTTAAATATATGATTTCTTCTTGTTTTTTTTCTTTATTTGTCATAGCAAAGATTTTTAAACCGTTAATTTGCACCAAATCTTTATATTTTAGGTTTTTTTTAAGTATAATTTTTTTTAATATTAAGTGTTTATGGTTTTTCCATTTATTATACAAAAAATTAATTTTCATTTTATTGTTTTTAATATGAGAATGATTTTTGAATTAGTTACCTATTCGGTTGGTTAAAATCCCATATTTGAATGCTTTAAGTATAGTTTTTATATATAATATTAGTTTTGTCAAAATTTTGCCTAATAATTAGTCAATGTTAATGTTGGTATGTTGTAGAAAATTAGCGCTCTTAATGAATTTTAAAATTTAATTATGATGAAAGTAATTTTTGCTTTTCTTTTGTTGATTCTGCACATAGGCATATATATATATGTCACGAGAATATAAATAAATCAAGCACCAGGGATATATATATATATATATATATGCTTCTTTGTGTGATAACTTTTAATAGAAAATACTGATAGTAAATATTTAATTACATATTTATATTAATAATTTATAAAAGAAACATCATGTCCATGGCGCATCATAATTTTAACAGTTATGTTGTTCTATTATGTCCTCATGGTGTTGTGTCATTCTTTGTTTAGTGTTATTTATATTTTTACTTTGTAGAACATTGCTTTTGAGATGGAAGGCATAGGCCCCCTAGATATGTGCCTGTGGAGGTTTGAATTGAGCGTTTGAATTTATAATGACGGCCCAAAGATCCATTTTTATGGTGATTGAATCTTATGTCTAGATTAATTCTAGGGCTCTATGAATTGAGCTAGCAAGATGTGCTTTACTTAGCTTGATCTTTGGGTTGACACAAATCACAATGCAGTTGAGCGGTGTAAGGGCTAGAAAGTCATCGTATGCGAACTTGGATCGAACAGTTTGATTTGATTAGGAATTACTTTTTATTGTCATATCAATTTCCCCCATGCTTAACTTCTGAATTTTGATGGGCTTCAGTGATTTAGTACTTATGATCATAAGAAAGCTAGTATATGTCATTACGTGTCCCAGGCTTGGAATTAACCAAGACGAGAACAAACGGTTAAACGATGGAAACTAAGTTTTCTATATTCATTTACCATTTAACAAATTAAGGAGTCACTAATAAAATTAAGTTAAAACAATATATCTCAATTTAACTCGTTACTAGTTGTCTGTGCCTTTTATAAATATTTTTTATTCTATCGTTTATCTTTTGATCCCTTAAATTAATCTGAAAAGTTAGTTTAAAAATAAGAGTGAGCTAAACAAACCATTGAATACTCATATTCTTCAACTACAATGATACATGAGAAAAGAAAGTAAAATACATGTTAGTTTTTAATAAATCAGTATAAACATTGAATATTTAAAGAATATGATTCTATTCAATGAATCTTACTATATCAATAATATATCTATATCACTTTATATTTGTATAACCGTCACATGAACACTGCTAAAAAATTATACCAGTTAAAAAACATCAATATCGATATCCTTTTTTATTTACGTGTACGAGTATATTAATGTTCCCATACTAGTACCATAAATGAGTGACTCCATCATAGTCAGATATGCATATACAAACAATTAATATAAACATATAATTCATGTGTTCATCGTATTTAATTCAATATATTTTGTATAATATACACTAATGTGTGATAGTAAATAGCTATATACATTCATAGTAATGTGACCAATAAAAGAAATTACATTTAAATCAAAATAAAATTTGTATAAGTATCTTTATTTACTAATGCAAAGTAGTGGAAAAAAATTAAAATAATATTTATAAATTAAAAGTATGAGTACGCATATCGATGTCGATTTATTTATTATTTGATTTGCTTTGATGTTGACTTCTAAATATGGAAGCCTAAAATAAACATGCTATTCATAATACAAAATTTTAATTAATTATTAGTTTAGATACCTATTAAACTTACATTATCTAAGTATTAATTTTTCATTATTATGTAGTTCTAATTATTATTATTATTTATTCACATTTAAATTCATTATATTTAACATTATCTTAGAGATTTAATAAATCAAATCATAATTTATTTTACTGCCTCCATTCTTCCTTCGATCAATGACTGAAACTTTAACTTGAATCCCGAGTTAATTTAACCTTATTATTAATAATATATTAAATTCATAAATTTTATTGTTTTAAACCCTTCTCCCTCGGCTCGAACACCTCCTTTGCACACGAGATCCGGATCAAGAGCTTGGCTTCGACTCCCTCTCGCATGAACACACAAACTCAACCCTTCTTCCTCTTCCTCCTTTGCACAATGCTTCTTCCTCTCTTCTTCTTCGATGGTTGGCTAGGGCACAATCATAACGCTTACTCGCAGACGCATAACTCGTTTCTTCCTCCTCTGCACGACAGTGATGCCTAGAAGTCCTACCTATCTTGTAATAGTTCCGTTTCAATTACGAGGGGTAGAGGAGACGAAGGGAGGCGAGAGGAATCGAAGAGATGAGCGGAAGGGAGAGGAAATGAGGAGTCGGAGAAACTTAACGAAGGGGAGAGGAAGCGAGGAGTCGAAGAGATGAGAGGATTTCTTGGTTCCATAAATTGAAGAGTGTGGAGACTGACAAGTTCGTCAGATTAACTTACCAGGAGAATCGATCGAAGCATGTGAGAGACGTCGGGCGTGTCACGACTCATCTCGGTATTTAATATTAATTAAGGCGGGAACTGCGGTCGGACGGTATTAACTTTTCATTTTTTATTTTACAAAAATATTTCAAAAAATTTCAATATATATAAAAGAGTCATTAATCCACAATGTTCAATAAAATTTAAACATCTAAAAACAACATCATTTGTAGACAATAATCTCAAATCAACATATAAATTGTCTCTATATAGAAGTAAACATAGGTAAAATAAAATCACACCACAAACTAGTACCTGTCGGCACTAAAAAGTTTGGGGAGTTGCCTGTAAGAAGCTGTCGGTCATCGGAATCGAAATCCCGTCCCCCGCTTCGGAAGGACGCTTTAATTTACATATAAATTTAAGTTTAGAAAAATATGAAATCAAATTGACACCATAATCTTCACAGTTTAAATGAAAGAGCGCTCTACCTCAAATCTTGTAACTATCCCGAGGGATAAACACAAGACTTGAGGATGAGACTCGATCAAATAAACTAAGAAATATATGACGTTTGTTTGGTCTGCGAAACCATTTTATTTGCCGACAAATTCCCCTATTTAATATGAAAAATTAAATAAGGTTTATTTTAAGCTGGGTTTGAAAAAGCTTCCTATAAAGACAAACCCCTATAGTTAATTACATCTTAGACAACCGTAGTCACCTAAGAATACTCTCGATAAAAATCATGAAATATTATCTTCAAAAATGTCAAAAAGATAAGACTTTTCAACGAAATCGAATAAGGAGGTGTGAAAAAGGAATAGTTTAAGTTTTGAATATTTATTATAGAATCCAAAGGAAGAAGGAATAGGGGATGTCACAGATC